GTGTGTGTGTGTGTGTGTGTGTGTGTGTGTGTGTGTGTGTATGTGTGAATGAAATGAATACAGTGACTTTAGAGACTTCTAGCCACTTTATAAACTTAAGGTACAGGTCCAGTGAAACCCGAGTGGGACAGACAGGCACAGGCTTGGCACCTGTGAGTCTCAGTCACCAAGGGCACCTCAGCCCCCCCTCCCCATATATCCCCCTAGTCATACTGTCATCGGGAGAGGGACAGGCAAGCAGGGCTGGTGGGCACATGGGGTTTGAATGTAAGCCCCGGGTGACACTCTTGTAGTGTTAACTATTCAGGGTCTCTGGTTTTCTGCTTGCCTGACAAGGGGAGTGTCCTCCACCTCCCTGGGTGGGTGTGATGGCGGTTGCTATCATATTGATAGTATCTGTGGGTCCTGGCTGTGCCTAAATTCTCTTTGATCCTCACCATGGGGTTATGCCCCCAGGATATTAGTTTACCCCGGGGTCATGGCTGTGCATTTTTTTTAAAACATGGGGTCTTACTATGGCTGCCTGGAACTTGCTTTGTAGACCAGGCTAGCTTTGAACTTACAGAAATATGCCTGCGTCTGCCTTCGGAGTACTAGGATTAAAAGCATGTGCCTGGTGAAAAAAAAAAGCTTCCATTTATTGATTTTTTTTAAAAAGATACTTATTATTTTATTTTTAATTATGTGTTTTTGTCTGTGTGTAGTTAAACGCACGTGAGAGCAGGTACCTACAGAGTTCAGAAGTATCCGATCCCTTGGAGCTGGACTCATAGGCAGTTGTAAACTACCCAGTGTGGGTGCTGGAACAAAACAGCCTTTTGCAAGAGCTCTGTGTGCTCTGTGACTGAGCCGTCTCTCCAGCTGCCTCCACCTTGGCCCAGCTGGAGGGGAGGGGAGGGGAGGGGGTCCTGCCCCAGGAGAGGCCCCAGAGGATGATGCGCTTTAGCTGTTCCTGGGTACACTTCTGGAAACAGCAGGGACCAGGCCACCCAGTGTGGGTTTGGTCTTAATGAAGGCCAGGGAGAAATTGCCACCTAGAGGCAGCCTGGGTAATAAAGCTGTGTCCCTGTGTACAGTTCACTCAGTGTCTCGGCTGCTTCTTGCTGCTCTCTGCAGAGGAGCTGATGGACAAGTGTGGACCCCAGAAGCCACTGTGGCAACTAGAGAGCCCCCAGTAGGGCCTTGGGTACCCTCCAGAGAAGAATCTCAGGGTCCCTTTTGGTAAGAAAATCAGGTAGCCCCAACCTGTCCCTACCCATGTTTCTGTGTGGAGAGAGCCTGTGAGGCCACATGAAGCCCTGCTGGTCACACCTGGGCAGGTTGGAGGGGGTAAAAACTGAGCTCAGGTCCCTTTGGCCAGCAGCCAAATATGTCATCTGGCCTGTCTGTCTGTCCTGGAACAGGGCGTGGAAAGGACACCCTAGCTGGTGGTGAGGAAGACTCCAGCGCCCGAACTGCGGCTCGCCCGTCCCTGGCACAGTGTCGGGCCCTCAGTGTGGACTGGCCTGGCCCGAGGAGTCCGCATAGACTCTACCTGACAGTTCAGGTAAGCGGGGGCCGTCAGATGCAGGGCGAGGGTGAGCGTGGCCAGTGTGCTGGGTCCTCTGAGCTCCGGCAGCTGGGCCTGGCAGGGAGAAGCACTGGGGACCTGCCAGGCACCTGCTGGCTAGCTGGCCTTTTGCAGCCCACAGCTGAGAGCCTGCATGAATGAATGCACGAGGTTTCATTTCAGCTTATCTCAGGAAGATCTCTCAGGAGGTGACAGGGAGCTTTTCAGCCACACCTGGCTGAGGTGGGAAGTGAGGCCTTTGCTAAGATGTGCGTGCGTGCGGGAGCTGGAGGAGATATTGGGAAAACAGGCCAGTTTGGGGAGCTGTTTATTTCTACGTGGACAATGCCTGTGTTCCCTTGTTTGAAGAATCAAAGCGAAGGCCAGGCTGGGCATGGTGCATGCCTTTAATCCTTTAAGGAGGCAGAGGCAGGCAGATATCTTCTGGGAGCTTGAGTCTAGCCTGGTCTACAAAGCAAGTTTAAGGCCAGCCAGGGATACAGAGAGACTGTCTCACAAAAGGGGGAAAAAAAGAGTCCAAAAGAAGATGGTGGGGAGATGGGGAGATTCTTTTCCTCTGCAGATGTCATTGACTTTCAAAAGGCATACTTACCGTATATGGGGGGAGGCTTTGATTGTAGAAATAATACAAAGAGATAGCAGTTTTTATTCACGCTGTTTTGGAACACAAGCATTAGATCTCACGTCTCAACAGAAAGAAACTGTTTTGTATGGATTTTATAGACGAGGCCATGGAGGCTCAGAGCTCAAAGAGGTTGACTCACTTGCTGCTGGTCACACAGTAGGCTGAGATCTGAACTATTGAACACAATTAGTTGATTTCAATGGTGTAAAGAGGTGTTAATGGTGGTGGTGGTGCATGCCTTTGATCCCAGCACTCAGGAGGCAGAGGCAGGTGGAGCTCTGTGAGTTTGAGGACAGCCTGGTCTACAGAGCCAATTCCAGGACAGCCAGGGCTACAACTCCCCCCCACCCCCCTAAAAAAATCCAGATGGTGTAAAGAATTCACAGTATAATCCCTAGAAGCTATATGCACCCCTGGTCCTTCGACAAGTCCACCATGAAAGGTTCACCTTCACCCACTTTCTTACCTGTGCTCCCACCAGTTATATGGTTTTTATCTTCACTTTTACATATTAGTCTACGACATGCTGTTTCCCTCACTATCACCTGTGAGATGTCTTCCTACGTCAGTCACAGAGCACCACCTCCATTCTCTTAACCACTGCATAGCATCCCACTTGAGACTTTACCATAAACTACCATTGGGCTGTGTGCATGGTTTAGCATTAGAGCCCCTGCCTGACATGCACGAGGCCTTAGGTTCGTCCCATCAACACCAAATATCGATGGTGGTCGATAGTAAAATCCTGTGTCTGCCCTGGGTGTCATCTGATTACAGGGAGCTCCTTTGACGTTCAAGCAGTTGTGACGTTACTATTTTACATTCACTGTGTATGTGTGGGGGTGCTGGGGGTGGGGGTGGGTGCAGCGCAGTGCGCCTGTGGAGGTTAGAGAACAATTTGTAGGAGGAGGCCCTCCTTCCGCTGTATAGGTTCTGGGGACGGGAACTCAGGGCATCTAGTGCCTTCATCCAGTGAGCCATCTGGCTGGCCCACGTTAGTTTGTTGTTTGCATTGTTCTGAGACAGGCTCTCACTACTTAGCCCGGTCTGGCCTTAAACTCACAGAGATCTGCCAACTCAGTCTCCTAAGTGCTGGTAGTAAAGGTGGCATGTGCCACCATACCCAGCTGTATTAGCTTGGTATGGCATTTGTTTGTCTTTAGATTTATTTTCATGTGTTTGAATGTTTGCCTACATATATGAATATGTACCATGTGCATACCTGGTACCTGCTGCCTGAGGATGCCAGAGGGAATCAGATCCCTGTAACTACCATGTGGATGGTGGGAACCAAATCTAGGTTCTCTCCAGCTCTTCGGTAGATCTGCTGATACTTCATGTCTGGAACTAATTAACGTGAATTCTCATATGGGTGCTAGGAACGGAACCTAGGCTCTCCACAAAAGCAGCAAGTGCTCTTAAATGCTGAGCCATCTCTCTAGTGCCTCTGGCTTAGCTAGGGCTTCTGTTGCTGCAACGAAACGCCATGACCAAAAGCAAGCTGGGGAGGAAAGGGCTTATTTGGCTTATATTTTAGCATTGCTGTTCATCACTGATGGGAGTCAGGACAGGAACTCAAACAGGGCAGGGTCCCCAGGGCAGGAGCTGATGCAGAGGCCATGGAGGGGAGCTTTTTACTGGCTTGCTTCCCATGGCTTGCTCAACCCATCTTCTTATAGAACCCAGGACCAGCCGTCCAGGATGGCACCACCTACCATGGGCTGGGCCCTCCCCCATTGATCACTAAATGAGAAAATGACTTCCAGCTGGATCTCATGGAGGCATTTCCTCAGCTGAGGCTCCTTCCTCTGATGACTCTAGCTTGTGTCAAGTTGACACACAAAACCACCCAGTATAGCCTACATTAGTATATATTTTTTTAAGATTTTTATTTATTTTTATGTGTATGTGTGTTTGGTCACATATATGTCTGCTGCCTGTGGAGGCCAGCAGAGGGTATTGGATCTTCTCAGACTGGAGTTACCGATGGTCATGAGCCACCATGTGGGTATTGGGAATTGAACCTGGGTCCTCTGGAAGAGCAGCCAGTGCTCTTAACTGCTGAGTGTCTCTTCGGCCCTCCTGCATTAGTATTTTAATATGTGCATTTGCTGAACAGATATTTATGGATTGGCTGCCTTCTGCCAATGCATCTTAGCACAGGTGCAGAGATGCTGAGGAGGGAAATAGGGAAGGTAGCCAAGCAGAGGCTCCAGAGAGTCAACAATGACCTCAGATGCATGCATACAAATGGGACCCCAGGAACACAACTTCAGAGGATGAAGTGCCAGAGTTGTCTGGGGGTGCTGCCCAGATTCCCCTCCTGGTCTTCTTTCTTTCTGCTTGTTAGACAAGGACTCCCTCTGTAGCCTGGGCTGGTGTGGAACCCAATGGCAGATACTCCTGCCTCGTGTTCCCACGGGCTGTGGTGAGAGGCATAAGCCACCATGCCTGGCTTTTCCTCGCAGCTTCTATGGCCTCATGCACACATCCTGCCCTTCTCGGAGCCACTGACAGAGCTGGGATGAAGTGAGTGGAGATGGTAGTCCAGCTGGGTGCTGGGGAAACGCATACCTTTGAGCCGTCCTCGCTCCGGCAGCTGCAGCCCTGGGCTGCTGCTCTGAACGGGACCCCAGGGGTGATGGTACTTCAGGCACCGCTGTTTCACTATGTTTCCTGGTTCTTGTGAGATTCTCCCGGAACTGAAGGGCCCATCCTTCTTTCCTTTGTGAGGTCTGTGAGGAGAGCAGAGCGGCTCTGGTGAGACAATAAATAGTTAAGGGTACCAGAGGGAAGTTAAATCGGGAGGCTGTGGTCAGGAGCTGCAGCTCAGCTGGGTGGTGGCCCTGTTCTTGAACTTTGATTATGGGGTGCTAGGCTGTGGCTGCTATGGAGGCCTGGCCTCAGCGGTTCTGCTGACGCTCCATTCAGAAGCCGATAGCGACTGGCTCACACGTTCATGCCCTTCCGGCCCCTGCCGAGCCCTGCCGTGTGTATATGGACATGGATGTGTGCTGGAGTGTGTCCCAAGCACGGTGACTCGACCTGCAGGTCACAGACTCAGTCACTCCAGCCTTGCTCCAGCAACTACAGCGTGAGCTGTGCACCCACAGAGGCAGTGCAGACATTCCCAGCCCCTGGGGACGTCTGTCCTTCCTGTGCTTCGGCCAGCAGCCCAGAAATAGTGTAACCTTTGCTCCTCTCTGAAGGCAAGTGGAAACTTCCAGCTGCTGCCGTCCCCGCCACCCCACCTCCCCCAACCTGCTCGAGATGGTGTGGCGGTTGGAGGGTGGGGACAAAATGAAGCCGAGGAGAGTTTTCCTAAATCCGAAGATGAGGGAGAAAGAGGCCGAGGATGTGGCTGACCAGGCCCCTGGCCCTGCCGCTTTTCACTCTTGCATTTCTTTTGATTGGCGTTTGATGCTCAAAGTGGAAGAGTGGAGACTAGAGAAATCTTAACAGATCACAGCTATCTACGTGGTGCTTATGTATGCCAGGCACTTAGTGTGCTTCACTTGCGGCTGCCACTGATTTGCCCACTGGCACTAGAGGGCAGAGGTTAGGGGTTCTAGATGGATACGATGGTGGGAAACAGTTACTGGAAGAACACAGAGTCTGTCCACGGCCCCACAGCACGCAGGTGACACACTGTCTCCCTGGACTTCGCCCTCCCTGTACTGAGCATTAAAATATATATATATATAATACAGCAGCTGGCCTGGGTGTTGGCACGCACCTTAAATTCCAGTAGTGAGGAGGCAGAGGCGGATGGATCTGTAAGTTCCAGGCCACCCAGGGCTACAGAGTGAGACCACATATACAGATAAAAAGAATAACACTTGACTTGAGAGGGCACGAAGACATAAAAGCCTCTTCCCAGATCCCTCCATGGACAGAAACAAACCAAACCAAACTGTGTTGATAAGGTGAAAAATTCAAACCCCAGATGTCTCCAGAATGACCGGAAGTCCCCGTCTGCTTCTCACCTTGCCTTTTCTCCTGTTATGAAATTTATTTCCGTGCCCCAGGTTTAAATTGCTTTTGTTTCTATCTCAGTGGGTCTCTGTGTGTATTCCCCACACCTAGCGCACACAGCTGCTTGTGAGCTCTCCAGTTCATTTTCATCTGTACCTTGTGTATGACCTCACGTGGGATCACACTCCCCACACTGTTCTGACCCTTGCTTGGTAGGGGTTGTCTCTGAATGAAGCACCCCTTTCCAGCCCCTCCACTCGTCTGCTCCAGCCCGGCTACCTTTGCCTCAGTCCCTTGACCAGGACATGGGGGTCACATTGCCCCTGGATAGCCCCATGGGACAGAGCATGAAGGAGGCTGGTTGGTCATTGTCCTGGTCAGATGAACTCATGTGCAGCCTCCAAGTCCTGGGAGTGCCATCCTTAGGTGGCAGGCTGTCTGCCAAGGTGTCGGTGCAGGTGACGCTACAGGGGAGTTGCCCCAAGCCTGCTGTGTGGATAGCAGGACTGGATAGTCGCCTGTGATGATGTGAACCAGCTGCTCACATGCTGGTGACCCCTGCCCCACAGAGCCTGCAGGGATAGCGCCAGCGTCATCCAGGGACCCTAGGTTCTTCGAATCTTTTTTACTGGTGTGGAGGCTGGTTACTGTGGGTCCCGAGAGTAAATCACCTCCATCTTCCTGTGGGATGTTAGTCTGGCTTCCCGGGATCCCAGGCAGGCCTCTTTGTCCACATCTCCATGGTGGAGACAACCTGCTGGGACCAGGGACCAGATGCTGGGACCAGGGACCAGATGCTCACCATCCCGGGGCGAGGGTCCCTCCTCAGCACAGTCCCCTTCACGAGAGGATTCTGGTTGTGTCTCGGCAGCAGGCCCTGCAGGACAAGGGGTACGAGAGCAAGAGTCAGGGGACGAGAGAAGACAAGCTCCTGAAGAGGCAGGCGCCAGCCCCCAGGCGGGACCGGGAGGCCCCAGAAGCTGGTGGCGCCATGAATGTAGAAAACACAGGTAAAGGAGGTCAGCCCCACCATCGGCACACCTGGCTGAGCGGGTGCAGGATGGAGGCTCCCGGGGGTCCCAGCTGTCTGGTGCTCTGCCCCACAGCTGGAGGTGGCTCAGCCAGTCTGGCCACCTGACATGAACTTGAGACCCTGGACAGCCTCCTCCAGATTCAGGGACAGCCATGTGTCTGTCCTCTTTCTTGTCCCGTCCCTTCTCCCAGGGCCACACCCAGTGATAAGAGACCTTGGCCACTGGAGGCTGGGGTTGGATTTCCTTTCTTTTTGTCTTTTCCAAGCACCCATCTAAAGCAGGGCCCAGGAGCAGCCTCCCAGACGCCACTGGTGCCCGCCGCAGGGGGCCTGGCTGTGTTCTGGTCAGAGGATCTAGAGGGCAGGATTTGTTCCCCTCCCTTCAGCCTGTGCTTCCATTATCCTCAGTCCACTGTGGCACCTAGAGCTGACTGGTTTTAGAAGCTTCTCCGGGCTCATTTGCAGTCCTCTGGGTTTTCTGTAGTAAGTACAGGCCAGTGATCACAGAGAAAGAGCCTCCCGAGCAGCCTCAGGGCAAGGCCAGGAGTGTGGGGAAAAGGTGTCGCTATCCCAGAGTCTGTGTCTGAACTTGCTGCGGTTCTTGGAGGAGGTCACTCCCTCCTCCGAGTCTGGGCCAGTGCCTATTCTGGGTGAGCCCTGGTCCACCTCGATTCAGGGCTGGTGTAGGGTCTGGCTGATCAATGGGCAGCCAGGCTTTCAAAATGGCCACCATCTGGCCAGCTAGGTAGGATAGGCCCAGAGGAGGAAGGCTAGGTCCTCCTAGCAATGAAGACTGGCACAGTAGCTGAGCCCTGGGCCCTGTGGTGGGTGTGCTTCTAGAAACTGACCTGTCAGGTGGTAGCTTCCTCAGCACAGGGCTTGTTCTGTTCAAGCGCCCCTGGGCCTCACCTCCCCTGGGCCTCACCTCCCCTGGCTTCTTCCCATCTTCAGACCTCCTTTAGGTTCTTCAAGAGTGTTTCTTCCACTGCCCATGATTCTGCAGCTTCTGCTTAACTGCTGGCCCCCGACACAGGGTACCATGCTGAGGTCTGGGCCTCAGGGCCTCCCAGGACAGGAGCCTGGTCGCCGGATGACAGGCCTGCCGAGGCCTGTGATAGTCACCCACACCTGTGTTGCCGATGGGATCCCAGCTTCTTTCCCGGGGCTGCTTTTGGGCTTGGCACATTGTAACTGTCTCGCATAGGAAGAGCCCGCAGGGTCCCTCCCATGTGACTCCAAAGGCAAGACCAGCTCTCTGCAGCCGAGCCCAGCACATTCTGTCCTGCACCAAATGCAGTCTGTGGCCATGCTGATCACATGCCACCCATGGCAACCCCCGTGTGCTGGCCTAGAAGCATCGGGCTGCCCTTACTGCCTCTAGAATAGATCACAGAGGCCGGGCCAGCTCTGTGTGACTTTCGTGCTGTGTCACATGCAGAGCCACACAGCCGAGGCCACTGGCCCAGCATGGGTTGCTCAGCCCCAGCCCTGGGAGGAGCAGAACCCCTAACAGCTGCTGCCTCCCATTTCCCTGTGCTGCTCTGGGGCTTTGCAGAACTGTAGTCAAGGGTGCCATTGGTAGGCGTCAGACCCAGGGAGGCCCTCACCTCTGGGAAAGCCAGAAGCTAAGGCCTCATCCAAGTGGGAGGCTCACCAGCTGGCACCAGCCCTCGGCACTCCCAGACACTTTGCAGGGCTCCGCTTGGGCTGCTGAGGGGAGAGGGCAGATTCTTCTCTCACCCTCCACCCCCCAGACTGCTGCTGGCTCCTCAGTGCACAGGCCATGCTCACCTGTGGAGCAAACACTGGCCCTCGATGCTTGTCCTGTGTCTCCCATTCCGATGACAGAATGGCGGGTGTGGGACGGGAGGACTCAGGCTGAGGCCCTGGCTGACTTGGTATTTGTCCCTTTCTCGCACATGTGTGGCCCCACGTGCAGGCACCAACCTGCGAGTGCTCCTGGTTGCTCCTGTCCCGAGCGTGCATGCGCTGGTCTGTCAGTGCCCTGACGGGTTGCGCTTGCACATCCCCCCCTTGCCCCTCCTCCATGCACAGGTGACCACTGCCCACCGAGCGGCTGGGAAACCCCGTCCCCTCTGCTGTGCTGGTGAGAGGGCATGACTTAGCACGAAGAGCCCTTGCTGAGACAGCCTCTGTTCTTCCCCGGTGGGAGTTGCCTGGAGACTGGCCACAGAGGCCCTAGCCCTTCAGACCTGGAACACCCCGCTTTGGAGGGAGTCAGTAAAAGCTGCTTTCCTGAGCCTTGGTGTAGGCAGTTTTGTCCCCAGAGCTGCTGCCTAAGTGACCTCCCCAAGGCAGACCTGGAGGTCCCCTGCGACCCCATTTTGCGGCAGCCTTCAGGCCTCTCCTAGCTCACCTGCTTGCGTCTCTCCCCACTGATGGTGTGCTCTGTTGTGATGGCCGTACCCCTCCTCCAGGCAGCCCTCCACCGTCCTGCTCATCAGCCACTACTTTGCTTGTAGGTGGGCGGCTCTTTGGCATCGGGAGGTGCTCAAGCCTGTCGGGGTCACCAGGCCCAGACCCCGTGGTACATAGGACGGTGGAGGCCATGTCCCAGCTTCAGGAGGAGCTGGTGGTCCTTCGGGAAAGGCTGGCCCTCCACGACAGTGACCGGCAAGCCACAACTACCCAGCTGCAGAACCAGGTACCTGGGGAGGCAGGGACAAGCGGAGGCCACTGCCCACTGTGGAGCAGGTCAGAGGACATGGCTAGGGTACCTGGACCCCCGAAAGTCAGGTGGTGACATTCTTCTGGTTTGGGAAGATGCTTCAGGGTGAGGAGGTTCAAACTCAGGTGGTTGTACTTGGCAACAAGTGTCTTTAACACCTGAGCATCTTCCCAGACAAAACATTTCTCCCTTTAATTGACGAAATCTACTTGCTTATTAAGAGGGGAAGTTGAAAGTGAGGTACCCAGCCTTTCTGGTGTCTCTAGCCCCACTCTGGTGTCTCTAAATCCCCACTTGAAGGATCCTCAACCCACCCTCAGGCCCGGATAACTTGGGAGTTCAAAATTGTACCTAGCCTTTGCTCAGGTTTTCTGTGAGCTTCTTGATTACATGTTTATAACAGTGTTCTCCAGAGATGGTTCCTGAAGCTCTGTACCTGTGGGCTGCTCTCTGTAGGGTCCAATCCCGTGGAGACAAGGCCAAACTCCCGGGCCTGGAGTCGGGAGCACGCCCTGACTCTGGCAGTACTCCTTAGCCCTGTGGCCAGTCTGCACCTCGTTTCCTTAACCTGATTATAGAATCTGGATGTGCTGTTCCCTGTCACTGTGTGCTGCCCTGGGCCATAGGGGCAGGTTGGAACCACAGAAGTACATCTGTCTGAGGCCATCTTGGCTGTAGGGGCATCGTCTGTCTGTCCTCTGAACTCCATCTTCTGATTTCTAGCCAGCTGATGAGTGTGGCTTTGCTGTTATCAGATGGGCCGGTCATAAGTGTGGACAAGAAATTGATTATGAACTATAAAGTGAGGGTTCCTGTGGCCTCTTGTCTCCCCGTGCCTCACAGTGGGTTTTATTGTTGTTTTGTGCTGTTGGCTGTTGGTTTGGGTTTTGGGTTTTCTGAGAGAAGCTCCCAATCTAGCCCGGGGTGCTGTGGAACTCCATAGTGGGTGGCGCCCACCTTCTGGGCACTGTGAATAAGACCGCTACAATAACTATGTACAGCTACGCCCCAAGTGCCCGCTTTCGGTTCTTTGGATTATATGCCCGACTCGGAATTGCCGAGTCATGCCGGCTTTCATTGCTTACTTTTGTTTATTTATTGTTCAGATGGGGCTTTCTTTTCCTCTTTTTCAGACAGGATCTCACTGTGTAGCTCTGGTTGGCCTGGAACTCCCTGTGTAGACTAGGTCAGCCTCAAACTCTGAAACTCGTAGAGATCCGCTTCTCTCTCTCTCTGCCTTGCAAGTGCTGGGATTAAAGTTGTGTGCTGCTGTGCCTCACTGGGACAGGATCTTGATATTGACTGCTGTTGACCTTGAGATGACCTCCTGCTTCCTGCCCCCTGTACACTGGTATCGCAGACGTAAACCACACACCTGATTCAGTTTGTTATAATTATCATTAAACTTTTTTTCTTAAAGAGTCTTGCTATGTAGCCCTGGCTGGTCTGGAACTCACTACTTAGACCAGTGTGGCCTTGAACTCACAGGCAACAATCCTGTCTCTGTCTCCTGAGGGCTGGGGCTACAGGTGTTCACCCCCCAGGCCTAACTAACTCAGTTTTTGGTTTTTGAGTTTTCCCACGGTGGCTGCACCGTGTCCTGCGTCCACCAGCGGTGCCCGGGGGTCTGGTGTCTCTGTGTCCTCACTGGCACTTACTGAACAGCCGTCCCAGCGGGTGTGCACTGGTGTCTCATTGTGGGGTTTAAGTTCTTCGTTTTTCAGTCCAGGTGATTTGGTTTCTCTTCTTGTAGAAGTCCTTTACTTCATCTGGGTAATAATCCTTTCTCAGGCGATTGGTTTGCACATTTCCCTCCCACTCAGTGGTTACCTTTCACTCTGCTTGGTGTCTTTTGTTTCAGGGATGAAAATCTGAAGCTTTATACCTGTGATTTTTTTTTTAATGTTTTATTTTTACTTTTTTTTTATGCGTATGTTGTTTTGCCTGCACACGCGTCTGTGTACCACATGCATGCAGTACCTGCAGGAGCCAGAAGAGGGCATCAGATTCCCTGGGACTGGCATTGTACACAGCTGCCTTGCGGTCTCTGGGTGTCAAACCTGGGTCTCTGGAAGGAAGAGTAGCCATGCTTTAATTCTGCATCATCTCTCCAGCCCTTATACTAGTGGTTTTTGTTGACTTGTAGAAGTATGAAAGTTAATTTTTGTAAAGGCCACATAACTATTTTTTTTCCTTTTACTGTTCATGTTTTGGGGACTGTATCAAAAAATCACTGCCACATCGAGTGTTTTAGGGTTTTTCTTCTGTATTTTCTTCTGAGTTTTATGGTGTAATTTCTTTGACCCACTTTGTGTATCACCCTATGGTATGTGGGTAAGGCCCAGCTTTGTTATCTGACACACGGAGAACCAGTTTGCCACCCCCAGCTGTCAAAAAGATGGTTCTTTGCCTTGCATGGCCTTGGCACACTTGTCAAAAATCACTAGAACATGTATGTGAGGCTTGTTCTGGACTCCCTTGTCCTTCCTGTTGTCTTTATGTCTGTCTGTCTGTCTGTTTGCCAGAGCCACACTGCTTTGACTGCTGCAGTGCTGAAGTCAAGACAGATTTCCACCTCCATTTTTCTTGTACAAGACTTGTCTGTTGACATATGAATTTTTGGATGGATTTTTTTTTAATGCCTTTAGAAAACGCTGCTAGGGTTTTGGCAGGAATTGTCTTGGCTCTCTAGATTTCTCTGCACATTGTTAAAACCCTTATATTTATTGATTGAGTCTTCAACCCATGACTATAAGACACTTTCCCTTTATGCCATCTTGAATGTTCTTAGCAACCTTTGTAGCCTTCATTCCGTGTTCTTACCTTTCTGGTGTGTGTGCACACGCATGTACACACCAGCTGCGTGCATGGGTAGAGGCTGACATGGAGTGTTTTCCTCTGTTACCCTCCACCTTATGTTTTGAGATACGGTCTCTCACTGAACCCGAGCTCATCATTTCAGCTAGACTAGCTAGACTGGGCGGCTAACGAGCCCTTGGGATCTGTCTGCCTGTCTGTCCTTCCTTCCTTCCAGCACTCCAGTTACAGGTGTGTGCTGCCATGCCTAGGTTTAGAAAATATATTCCTTAATCTTTTATTTTTATGTGGAAGGGTGTTCTGCTTACATGTGTGTCTGTGCACCACAGTGCTCTTGGAAGCCAGAAATGGCTGTCGGATCTCTCATGACTGCAGTTACAGATGGCTGTGAGCTACCATGTGGGTGCTGGGATTTGAACTCAGATCCTCTGGATGAGCAGTCAGTGCTCTTAACCAGTGAGCCATCTCTCCAGCCCCAGCCATGCCTAGCTTTTTACATGGATGATGGGGACCTGACCTGAGATCCGTTTGTTTCAGCAGCAAGCACTTTACCTCGGGGCCATCTGCCCAGCTCCTCTTGTTTAAATGTATTCTGATTTTATTCTTTCTGGCTGCTACTGTAAGTGGAATGATTTTATTTTCTACTTTGAATAGTCTGTTGTTATAGCAACACAACTGATTTTTTCGTTGATTTCATATCCTGCGACTTTGCTGAAGTTAATAGTTTTCACTGGCCGGATTTTAAAATCAAATTACTTGCCAGTTTTAAATCTCAATTTGCATGAAAATCTGCCCCCCTCCTCCCCAGTACTGGGGATTGAACCCAAAGCTTGTGTGTGCTAGACCAGTGCTCAGCCACACCCAGCCCTGGCCTTCTCTTCTGTTCCCGACATTGGAAGATATGGCTCCTTTGACATTCCCACACTGGCAGCCTCTGCATGAAGTCATGTGGCAGTTCTGGTCTTTAGTGGAGTGGACATCTGTCCGCCCACCACAGGTAGCCCAATACCATGCTGATGGCTTCATGCTCTGTGCCAGCCTCAGCACCCACTGTGTCGTTGAGGGCACTCCTGCACTCCGGCGTTCATCTGCATTTACTAGGAACCAGCAGCCTAGTGCAAGGCACTGGGAACGCAGCAGTTCTGAGGGTCACTGCAGATCTCCTATGCTAGGCCAGGGTGAGCATCCTTAATGCCCAAATCCGAAATGCTCCAAAATCCAAAACCCTACACCAAACATGATACCCCAACTCTGACAGCTAAGCCTGAACAAAGTTTATTTCATGCACAAAAATGTTAATTAAAAATACTGTAAAAATTACCTCAGACTCTATGTATAAAGTGCATATGATACATGGATGAACTCTGCTTAGACATGGGCCCCATGCCTAAGATGTTTCACTGTGTATATGGGAAAATTTAAAAATCTGAACTACAGAAAACTTCTGGTCCTGAAATTCAGGTGCCTGCTGCTCAGTGTGTTGTAGAATACGTCGTGTGCCGGCCTTGGCAAGCACATTGCACAGATTTCCTCATTTAGTCTTTAAGGCCTGGATGAGGTCGCCTCGTAGTGCAGATGGGGAAGTGGAGAGGTACGGGGAGGTGAAGGGACTTGTCTGTGGTTGCTCTCGTGAGCTGAGGTCCGGTTGGATTTGAGATCCTGTGTTCTCAAATGCTGCTCCTGCTCCTCACGGGTGGAGGACTCGAGGGAGCCTCTCGGCACAGATACAGCTGTGTGCGCCAGGCCAGGCCAGCCTCCTGGCTGGGGAGTATGCGAGGCAGAGGGGGTGAGTTGGTTGTGGGAGGGGTACTGCCTTGATCCCCCAGGGGCTCCAGGTGAAATGCCAGCTCAGCAAGGCTCTGCAGCACTCTTGGCAGGGCCTCATTTTTGCCTAGAGATAGCTGCTGACCACGCTGCCCAGGCATGGTGGGAGGTATGGAGGTAATCACTGGGTTGGGAGCAGACAGCTGAGAAAATGCAGACCTGACTGGGTACCCCACCTCTACCCAGCTGCTTCTGCCATGGTAAATGCGGGTTTGTGTCAGGTAAGTAGACAGACAGGCCCCAGTCACTCTGCCCCCTGCCTCAGTTTCTCTAGCTCAGTGGTTCTCAATTTTCCTAGTACTGCAACCCTTTAATACAGTTTCTCATGTCGTGGGGACTCCCAACCGTAAGATTATCTTTGTTGCTGCTTCATAACTGGATTTTGTTACTGTGACGAATTGTAAAGTAAGTCTTTTTGGAGACAGAGGCTTGCCGAAGGGGTCAGGATCCACAGGTGGAGAACCGCTGCTCTAGCCGATAACCTCAGTGGGGAGGATGTTGCCCAAGGCCAGGCCAGGCCAGAGCTCCCGTCACCTCCGGGAGACTCTCAGGAGTTACGAACACCGCCCTCTGCTGTTGAACTGCTCTGAGCATCCGCTATCTGCTTGTCCTTTGCAGACCTTTGCAGCCCCCCCCCACAAGCCCCCAGCGGCAGGCCAGCTGTGAGTGCCCCCCCCCCCAGGATTGCAGGGTGTGGTACCTTGCTCTCTGCTCTTCCTGTTCCTGTCTTCCATCCAGTTCTCTGGGCATTCCATCTGTTCCAGGCACCTGCTTATTCTGCCCCCAAGCCTTCTCGAAACAGAGGCACCCTCCCAAGTACAGGCCGGGGCCTTCTCCTGGCAGCGGGATCCAACTGCCCTGCCCAGCCAGGTGCCGCCAGTCCTCAGGGGCCGTGAAGGAGTTAGAGGTTATGCCTGGGGGTGGGGGGCGATGGCCACCCCTAATAGGGTGCCCTTCAGACAAATAGGGTTAGATTCCCCGGCTCTGCTTCCTGAGATGAGCTCACAGGTAACTTAGTGTCTGAAATCTCAGGCCAAAGGGGTCTTTTATGGCCCCTCCCTCTTGGTCAACAAGTCTGTCCCATCATATCCGTCTCCTGCATCTCCTTGTTTATCCCAGCACAGCCAGCAACACTTGAGTTGCCTGCCATTATGATGCAAGAAGGAGCTAGGCTGTAGACAGGCCAGAGGTCCTCACTCCCAGGAAGCATTGCCAGCCCCACGTTCCCTACAGCAGGGCTGAGAGCCCAGCATCAGCCAGCATTGGAAACAGCCAAGGTCAGAACTTTAGCCTTGGTGAGGCAATATGGAGAGGTAGAAAGCAGATCCTCTTCTTCTAGGGTGAGGGAAATGCAAGAGAAGGTCATACACTTAACCCCGGCCTGCGATTCTCCAGCCTGGAGGCCCCGCTCTTTCCTATTAGCCACACAGGGGTTTCTTTGATAAACTGCCATGAGGCAGGCTGCAGGGGCTGGGCAGAGTTGTCAAAAAGGACTGGAAAGACCCCTCCGGTCAGAGATGCCACACACCGAGGGCACTCTGGGCTCGTTGGGGGCTGAGGACAGCACATCTGGGCGACACGGCTTCGAGCTGGCACTTCCGACTTCAGACTCTCCCCTCAGAGCTCCAGAGACCAAGGGCTAGCTTTGCAGCTACCTTGCAGACGAATCCCACAGTTGACCTGGCTGCTTCCCCAATGGCAGGACTTCAGGGCAGCTCGGCTTTCTGGTGCCTAACTCTGCTTGTGGCCAGAGGGCACACATGCCATGCACCGGGTGCTCAGCCCCATGTGGGTAGTGGTGATGAGTGGAGAAATGGCGTGGGCCTTGCTTTCCTGCTGGGCCCGTGGCTGGGAGTGCCCCTAGGAAGGACCTTACTGGAGGTGGGGACAGAGGGAAGTAAGTTTTCTCAAGTCTTAGCTTTTAGGTCACCTGCTTATCTCCTGGAGGTATGGGCAGCCTGGCTGGGCCTTACAGTCCCTCAGTGGGGTCTCGGGCCACCGAGAGTTGACCTGCACTGACCTGCGGGGTCTACAGTGAGGTGGAGAAGGATCTCATGGACCAGAGAAGCTAGCTTGCCCAGCTAGCCACTCAGTTCAGGCCTAGGGAACAGTGACCTTTGAGGCTAATGCTACCCAGAGCCTTGTCTCACCTGAGATTTTACACATCCAAACACCCAGGCCCCACCCCACCCATCTGTGAGACAGTTTCTTCCTGTGTAGCCTTGGTTGGCCTGGAACTCTCTATGTATGTAGACCAGTCTGGCCTCAAACTCTCAAAGAGTTCCCCCTGCCTCTGCTGGAATTAAAAGTGTGCACTACCACCCCCAGTATTAGCCTCTCTTGTGAGATAAGTTTTGAGGTACTGGGTATGAGTTCCCATCAGACTGTGGCCCATGGGGACCACATTAGAGATGCTTCTGTGTGTATGTGTGTGTGTGTGTGTGTGTGTTACTTGCCTCATCTGCCTGGTGCCTATAGGCAACATTCCCCTTCACCTTGTTTACTAATCAAAGCCTAATACTTTTGTGGCCAAGATATACAAACCTCCTAACTCACTAGACTCCACCTGACTCTCCACCCCCACACCTTTTCCAAGGTGACACAGTCATCTAGAATGTTCTGAGGAGAAACCCAGCATGCTCTGGCAAATTCTGCAGCTAGGGCTCTTGTCTGTCAAGCCTGTTCCCTGAGGAGGGGCCCTAGGGCAGACTGATGTGGGCTCAGGGTCTGGGGCCTTCAGGGATGGTAGCCTGTTGGGGGCAGCCCCAAGGAAGGGTCACTGTCCCAGGAGCTTTATTCAAGGCATTGTCACCACAGATGCTCCCACTCACTATCTTGCTTGTCCATGTTCACGTCCACCTTCTTGGTCACAATTCTTCAAGGTCCTGGACTTGGCCTGGCTGCAGAAAACACAGTTGCACAGGCTGATTCAGTAGAAACTCCCCAAAGGTGGAAAATTCTGGGGGCTGGGCAAGGCTGAGCCCAGGGACCATAACTGTTCATGTAACTTCAGAGTCCTCTTAAAGGAGGAGAATGTTGTTATTATTTTTACAGATAAGTAGGCAGACCCAGGGCTTCTGAAGGGGCCTGTGCCCATGAGGGGTCCTGAGTTTCCCAAGAGTACCTCTCCAGGCCTCCTCAGAGCCATGGCTGGCACATTCTTGCAGGGAGTGGGCACTGCAGGCCATTGAAAACAGGGTGGCTTACCAGAGTTCCAGGCATAGCCTGGTGCTTGAACATAGGAAACCTGAGGCCCTGGGGCCAGAGGGGCACACTGGCTATCGCTGGAATTGTGGGCTGGAGGTGAGGACCTGGGCTCACGGTGCTCTTGGCTTTGGGCCCACAGGTGGAGCATCTAAAGGAAAAGCTCATTAGCCAGGCCCAGGAAGTGAGCCGACTTCGATCCGAACTGGTGAGGCCCCCAGTGCCATCTTGAGGAGGGTTTGGTGGAGGCCAAGCTGAGGATCCCACCTCGGGGTGTGGCTGTCTGAATCCCCCCCACACACACACCCACGCCCTACCTGAACTTCATGCTGCCTTGTCTCAAAGACTTGCCACTTCTCACCACAGAGCGGGGGCCTGGATCTCATTTGCTGACGTAAAATAGGAGTGTGAACTCTGCATTCATGTGACTTTGTGTTACTTTCACACTCGGGAAAATAGACTGCGCGGAGCAGGGGCAGCAGGGAGGGCACCTGCCTCGCCTTGCTGGCCTCCTTTTCTGTCCTTCCCTTGACTTCCTTCTGAGCCCCTGGCCTCCCCCTTCCCCTGCCTCTTTCTCTCCTCTCTTTCGCTTCTCCTCTCTCTGCTCATCTCACCTCTCCTGGTATGCCCTGGCTCATGCCTCCTCTGGGCCCCGGCTCTCCACAGGGAGGCACGGACGCGGAGAAGCACCGTGACAGGCTGATGGTGGAGAACGAGCAGCTGAGGCAGGAGCTGAGGCGCTGTGAGGTGGAGCTGCAGGAGCTGCGGGCACAGCCCGTGGTGCCCTGCGAGGGCTGTGAACACAGCCAGGTAAAGCCGGCAGGGCCACCTCCACCCGGGGCCCCGTGGGCTCAGCGGCTTGGCCTGACCCCCGCCCCTGTCCCGGCTGCCTTGACTCCCGGCAGGAGAGCACCCAGCTCCGCGACAGACTGTCCCAGCTGCAGCTGGAAGTGGCCGAGAACAAAGGCATGCTGTCGGAGCTGAACCTGGAGGTGCAGCAGAAGACCGACCGGCTGGCAGAGGTGGAGCTGCGTCTCAAGGACTGCTTGGCTGAGAAGGCGCAGGAGGAGGAGCGGCTCAGCCGGCGCCTGCGTGACAGCCACGAGACCATCGCCAGTCTGAGGGCCCAGTCCCCGCCGGTCAAGGTGAGTGGCCAGCTAGGCTGCGCTGCCTTGCAGGAATCCTGGGCCCGGGGCAGGGCTTGCCCCTGAAGAGAACCTTTGTCGCAGTGAACAGGCAGGTGTGCATGCTGAAGGGCTGGCTCTCCCAGCCTCGCGCTTTAGTGTGCGCCTTCCTGACTCGCTGCCAGGGCAGGCTCCGTGAAGGTGCTGTCTCCGTCCTTCCTGGCAGTCTGTGCCCTGCCTGGGCTCAGCGGGCTCCCCGCAGGCTCCCCTTAGGAAGATGCCAGCAGGCCCTGCCTGCAGCGTTCTGCAGAACCAGAACCTTCCAGCTCCTGGCGGTTTTGCTTTGCCAGCAGCTGTCGTTGGGATGAGCTTCCGTGGGCCAGCCGCGCCTCACGATGCTCCGTCCTGTCCTTCCCGCTCTTTGCAGTACGTCATCAAGACAGTGGAGGTGGAGTCATCCAAGACCAAGCAGGCCCTCAGCGAGTCCCAGACCCGAAACCAGCACCTGCAGGAGCAGGTGGCCATGCAGCGGCAGGTGCTGAAGGAGATGGAACAGCAGCTGCAGAACTCACACCAGCTGACAGTACAGCTGCGCGCTCAGGTGGGCGGGTCAGGAGGACCGGGCTGGGGACGCCACCCTCCAGTCCACCCTCCAGGCCTGGGCTTCGGTTTCTCCTTTCCCCTGGCCATGCGGTCAAGCTCTGTTTCCTCGTCTGTAACGTGAGCTGGTCACAGAAGCCCCTTCACAGTGGGGACACAGGAACGTGATCGTAAGGGGATGGCTGTCCCTGGCAGCCCACAGGTGTGCTCAGTAGGTCCTGCTGCCGCTCATGCCATCCCCTGAGCACACGTGCCTCGGGGACACGTGGCCCGTCACCTGTTGGGTGCACAGACCAGCTGGAGCTGGAGCTAATACCGGGAGGTGATGTCTGTACAGACTGACAGCCCTGTGGGGGAAAGCAGGCCACCCCATCCCTCCACACCATCCAGGCATATGTCCAAGCCTTCCCACACCTTCCCTTTCCCACACCCCCTTACTGAACCTTCTCCTGGCTCGGCCATCAGATCGCCATGTATGAGGCAGAGCTGGAGCGGGCACACGGGCAGATGCTGGAGGAGATGCAGTCCCTGGAGGAAGATAAGAACCGGGCCATTGAGGAGGCCTTCGCACGGGCCCAGGTGGAGATGAAGGCAGTCCATGAGAACCTGGCAGGTGAGCCTGAAGTCGGCTCTGCCCG